TGTAGCTCTGTAGGCAAGAGGAGCTAGAGAAGGATCAGCTGCTTTGTTCAGTTTTACAGTCTGCACAGCACGTTCTGCTTCTCCATTACTTTAACTTGGGGCTGCTTGTGTTTAAAGCCGTCTGTGTCATCCAGGCAAGGACGGACGTTGTTTTGCTTTACTGTGTTCTAATGTGAAGTGTGTTTATTTTGATATTGCATGTTTTGATTATATCTTGCGGAGTGTTTTATTTATACTGCATGTTTTGGTTGCGTCTGTCAATTTGTCCTGGAGAGACTCCGCCTTTTTTCCCCGTTTTACTAATTTGACACACCTGAGAGGAAAGGAGCAGGCGGTGATTTACAGAGTGCTCAGTGACACATAAGAGGCTTGAGAGAGGAGCAGGATACGACGCCAGCGAGCGGGGAAGCAGAGGGAGCGGTCCGGCGCTGGAGTTATTGGAGGCCAGATCACGCTTCTGTGGGGAATTAGAGGCGGCAAGACGGGCCGGTGCCGATTGGCGTGTTCAAGGAAGCGGCGGGGTAAGTCTTCTTACTTATCCCACTCTAACTAACGGGACCCCCTAAAAGAGTCTGACTGTCGCTGCCCTTTTTTGTTTTGTTTAGCGGAGCGGAGAGCACGCACAGGAAGGCGAGGACGCCGCCGGGCTTCCCTTCTGCACCGCTTCCCTGGATTTCTAATTTTTAGTAACTTTTATACCGTGGTGGACACCACTGGATTTTTAATGTTGTGTTTTATTGATTTTTATTGTGTTGTTTAATTCATTTTAGATTTTTAACTGTGATATATATAATAAATGATATTTTATTCATACAGTTTTTAATTCAGTGCATTCCCTTGGCCGCTCCACTGCTCCGTCCGTTTTTGAGGAGGGTTTCCCTCCTTTAATAACACCTGTGCTAAAATCACCTTCCCTCCGTTACATCTGCAAAGGTTTGACCTGAATACTGTGTATTATAGGACACCTCTGGGATGCCATGAGGGGCAAAGAAAGATTTCAGGTGGGTAATGATATCGTTTGATTTTGTTCTATTTAACAAAGCAATCTCAACTAATCTAGAGTGATAGTCAACCGCGAGAAGGTAAGTTTTTTCCTTAGACTCTGCAGGGACTCTGCCAGCAGCCCTCGGTCAAATCCAGTGTCGTAAAGAAATGAGCGGTGCCCAACCGGTCCAGGAGTTCTTCGACCCGGGACTCGGGTACGCATCAGACCGTGACACCTCATTCACCTTGCAGTGGTCCACACAGAACCGTATAGACTTTCTTCACTACAAGAACTATGGGGCTACACCAAGCACTGTGCGACTCTTCTGTTATTCTATGATGCATTAAGTGCATAGTAATTACATAAACTGCAGAAAAGTGCAATAAACTACAAAAAAATTGAAAATCGTTTTTGTTTTTTTAACATATATTTCTAGTTAGAGAAATTTAAGAGGCTTATCCCTCAA